GCCCGTGGAGCCGCGCTTGAAGCCTTTGTGCCCGGGCCCCCCAGAAGATTCGAGCGAGAGCTCCCCAAAGCCGCCCCCACCGCGCTTGCGCACGCTTCGGCAGGTGCGACCTTCATCCATTACATAGACAGCAAAGAAGGCAAAGACGCCTGCAAGGTGCAGCTGTTTTTTCGAGGCTTCACAGCTTTCTAGGCTCGGTTCCAGGCTCGACTCATCAGATGGGTTGGGATCTCCACTCTACTGGAACGATTTGCTGATGCTCTCCCTTGCCGAAAGGGCCACAAGCTCATCCGCAGCCACAGCTTCAGTGGCTATGCCTCTGCCCAAGCATCGGCTCGAAAGTGTGTCAGTCACTGCGGATGCCGTCAGGTTCCATATCACCTTGAGCAGGAGGAGGGAGACATTGCAGAGAACATTCCGTGGCTTGTCGTAACAGTCTGTTCCGGTGCAGTTCGGCTTCTTTTGCAGCCTTCAAGTCTCGGGGCAATTCGGGACTGTGCGTCTACAAGGCACCCTTGAGTTGGGAGCAGTCTGCCGTGCCGTAAGCACGAGCCGCCGAGGTCCCACTGCTCTGGCAGCAGCGCTGCCACCCCGGATACAGACATCGGGGAAGAAGGCGGGGGCGGGTGCAGATTGCATGAGCAACATGCACTGCACTCCTCCACTGACGCCGGGGTGGCGTCACGTCTGTGCGCGCTGCAGGCGACTCTGCAGCTCAGGCGCTGGCAGAGAGCCGTGTGTGAGTCTGAGGGTCTGTCTGAGAGGGTCTGAGATTGGGAAGGCGTGGCCTGACACGGACGACGAGATGCTCGGAGGTTCGGAGACATCCTTGAAATCGGTCCCAACAGTGGCACCGGCGCTGGTGGCATTTCCCTCAGAGTGGAAGCTGCAGACGCTGCACACCCCATCCAAAGCCCTCAGAACTGAGGATATGTACGTCCCCCAAGTTGAGGAGATGGTGCCTTGTCAGGAGGCAATGGCAGTGTGGACCTGGGATATGCCCAACTTGCCAGAAGAGAAGGCCAGTCCTTCGGGGTGCGAGTTTTTTTTGTAAGGGGACCCCCCCCCCCCCTACTGCCCTGGACTGTT